CTCGTCTGTATCATGCTTTGGACAATTTATGAGAGGAACAATGCGGCCACCTCCGGCATTATCATCTTCAGTGGGACCAACCCCAGTGTTGTTGTCAACGAGAGGGTTATCAGCGTTAAGGTGTTCATCCACATCCGAATCGCTACCTGCTTGACTAACATTATGGTGATGACTGGATTCACCTATCTGATTCGACAAGGCTCGAATTTGTTGGTCATGCTCTTCCCTCATTCGCAGCATAGCCATTTTCATTTCAAACTTAAAGTTCTCTTTTTGCTTAGCCAAAGCGTCTTCGATGATTTTGGTCATTTATTTAGTGTTGATCATAAACCCTTCCTAAGCTTGCCCCTCGCTAGATATTTTGTCGTCGAAGGCGATTGCAGAACAAGAGTCCGATAGTTCGTCATCGGAATGGATTCCTTCGTGGATTTTCAGGCAATTGCTATGTCCGACGGCTTCTAGCTGGAGCTGAGATATTCGTTGGGTGATTCCCGAACTGACTTCTCTTCTTGGAGAGAACTTGGGATTCGATCTATTTGTACCCCTCACAGACTTTCCCTTGTCGACCATGTTGATGGTTACCTCCGGGAGTTCGTCCTTTTGAATGACCGACCTTCTCTTGTGGAGACGCCTTGGCTTGGTATTCGGTGTTTTAGTGGAAATCCTCTCGAATACTGAGACCCTCTGCAGAACAGTCTTGGGGCAGCTACACGTTGATAATATTATCCTGATAATTTTGGTATACGGATAGTGAGAGTCCGTTTCTTGGGTATTTCTCTTTCGAGATTTATTTGTACCCCCATCCCGATAGTACAACTCATCAGTATGATTGCGGGAGCAACCTATCGTGTGCTGGCATAACTTTCTAGGTATAACGTTATCATTGTCAGACGAATACATTTTCTTCTAAAGACTTGCTGCCTTGTTGTCATTCTAAAGAGTCACACGTTTGGAGCCATGCTTTCGTGAGCGTAGGACCTCAACGGGCTCTTGAACCATGACTCGTAGTCCAAGGCGGTCAGTTATATGAGCTTTCCCATTATAGGAAGGCTCCGACTTGTTGCAAGGGCGAGTGCGACCCCCAGCTCGATGAGTTGCTCGGGGTTCATTCATCGTGCCCAAGCGTTCTTTGACTCAAAGTCTGCCTTGATCCTTGTGCAAAGAACCTAGGCATTCCACCATTGTCATTTTGAGTCGGGACAAGTCCATGTTGCTGTGGGACTTCACTAAAGGTACGGGATCAGAAGGAGCGAGATCTGAAGTCGACGAAAGCTGGGAACCAGTTTTGGATCTGGAATCGAGCGAGAGACATGACTGGTGTCTCTTATCGGGTAGAGGCACTAACTTGGCCTTCGGCACCCAAACCTGCTTAGATCTTGGTGGTTTCTTGACCACCTCTTCCTGCTGCAATTTATGTGCTTCTTGTACGAGAATCCGTGTGTGCGCAAGTAGTGTGCGGTGTTTTTGGATACGCTCTTCGAGAGTAAAACGGGTTCGTTTGGCACGAACCCATTTGTTAGTTGACATTTGGGAGGAGAACCCCAATGCTTGTTGTGGCGATGGCTTAGCCATTTGGTGCTTTCTGAACTCTAGATCCGTTTTATAGCGGAGTCCGTCCACTTGCTCCAAAGCCTTGGCGAACTGACAAGCAAGACGTTGGCGACGCCTTTGACTAGCCCTCTTCGACAAAGTTGGCACGCCTTCCATAGTCGACTCCTTAATGGAGGCGGTGTTCGGATCTATGGCTTTGGCTTCATTGAACGCTATCGGGTCGTCGCGAGATACAACTGCAGCAGCGATGGAGGAGAGATCGTCTTCTTGGGTCTTCAGATCTGAAGACCAGCGGATCTTCCTGGAGGAGGAGACCTTCATGCACTTGCGAGGAGAGGCGGATCTGGAGGAGGAGGAGGAGACGTACTCCTCGAACTTTTGTTGGTCGAATTTATACTCGACCTCTTCATTCACAGAGATCTTGATCGCCGGTTGTGGCACGACAGCCTTGGCAGCAAGGCTGTTTGCTCCCACTGTGGTCGCCAGCTTGTTTGGGTGGGAAATCAATTTCTTTATTGTATAACTTAATACAACTTTAGTCATTACAACAAGTTTAAAAAAAGATTGGTCTTTTTATAAGACCTATACATAATAAAATTAAAATTACAATCTCCTTCAAACAAACGCAACGGGTATTTATCGCCCGCTGCTTACATGGGATCTTTGCCTGTGACAGGGATGTTAATATCCGTGGATCACCAAACGATCAGATCAGCTCCAGAGCTTCATTGATTTGTGAAGGAATCAAGAAACCGAAGCAATTATCTCAGCAACAACGAGATAATCACTCTTCTCGAGATCACCGTAACGGGGCAATCTCAAGAGAAGGAACCGGGCTGCAGATCTGACGAACTCATTTTCTTTATGCTAAAGAATTCACTGATATCTCCTCCTACTCTCTGAAATTCATGGTTCTTCAGTCCTCAGTTCGGCAGGGCTTCGCCAACGCTCGAGAATTCCAGATCTGAAAAAATGAAGGCCCTGAGGCTGTATTTATAGGCTTAGAGACCCCTGTTTTCTGATAAGAACGACTGTAGGCTGTATAAAAATCACAACAAATAGCCAATCCCCATCAAACACCAATGATGGAAGTTACAATCTGACGACTTCCAGAAAGTTACAATTTAAAGATTTTCACGTAGAAGGTTACAATCTGACGACCTTCACAACAACTAATGAAAGTTCTAATTCAACAGCCTTCACAATTAACATCGGGAGTTACAATCTGATGACTCTCATATTTTCAAGGAGCCAAGACGAAGGTTACAAGGTGACGATCTTTGCAAACGCTCTAGCGAAAGAGACTACAAATCGACGGTCTCTTCATATTAAAACGCAGATATCTCTCAAACCGTAAGGAATTTGGCAAAACTGACGGAGCAAACCGAACCCTATGGGGTCAGTTTGGTCGGCCCCGTCTCATCGAGATAGCTGATTTTCATATATAATTCGTCCAATTCCGACTTACGGTTTGAAAGTTATGACCTGTTCTTCGCAGTAAGTTATGTTCTGAAGTCCGTCTGCAAGACTGGACTTCGTCAGAACATCGGACTTAGCCTAAAGCTCGCCAAGCCCGCCTAAGGTTCGCCTCTGCATTACAGAGTCAAAACGCACAGGTCGAACCAGCGTCAGAGGTCGTGGCTGCGTTCCAGATCCAAAACGCAGAGGTCGTGGCTGCGTTCCAGATCCAAAACGCAGAGGTCGTGGCTGCATTCCAAACTCAAAACGCAGAGGTCGTGGCTGCGTTCCAAACTCAAAACGCAGAGGTCGGGGCTGCGTTCCAAATCCAAAACGCAGAGTTCATCTCTGTGTTCCAACTCTGCGTCTCAGGTCCAAAACGCAGAGTTCATCTCTACGTCCCAACTCTGCGTTTCAGATTTACAACGCATCACGGCCTGTGCGTTCAGCCACCCAAAATAGGCCCAACTCTGCGTTTTTAGTCTAAAACGCAGAGTTCGGGCCCAGAACGCCATTTTTGGCGTTTGACTCGTTCAAACACGAACTTAACAGTTCCAGGAACCATTTTTCCCCAAAGATTTGAGGGATTTCCACCCCACTTAGGAGCGGATTAAAGGGGCAGTTACCACCCTTAATCCCATATAAATACGAGAAACACAATTGAGTTAAGGGATCGGATTTTTGTCTCATCAACGGAGGGAGATTCGGTCAAGAGCGGGCTTGGTTGATCGGAGGCTGGCTTTTTGGATCTGAAGCTTGGCAGCAAAGAAGAGTCTTCATCCTTCGGCTGGGATTTTGGAGATCGGCAATAGGAGCTTCTTCATCCTTGGCTTATAACCGACTTTCGGTTAAATCAACTCTTCCATAGAGTTTCAAACTCGTTCAGAGTTATCAACTCTGTTCAGAGTTATCAACTCGATCAGAGTTCAAAACTTGCTCTGCAAGTTCTTCTAAAACTCGCTCTGAGTTATTAACTCATTAAGAGTTATTTTCAAACTTGCCACGCAAGTTCTCCACAGCGTCAAATCGTGAGGAGAAGACCACGTTCCAGTGAATCAAGACGGTCGGATCGTCAACGGAGAGCAAATTCGACACGAACAATCGAAGGAGGCACTCCATCGCTACCAGGAAGAACCCAGAATTAAACAAAGGGGAGAATCAAATTCATTCTCCTCTCTTTTGTAATCGGAAATCCAATTATAATCGAGATTGAGAGAGTTGTAATCATTCTTTTTCTAAGCAGTTAGAGAGAATAAATCAAATACGATTCTTTCATTATCTTTGTTATTACAAATTTTCCACCAAACAACGACTGATTCCCTCTTATCCTTGGTTGTAACCACTTAACCATGTTCGTGGATGATATTTTATCAGTTGGGGTAAATCCAGGCGGTTAACGGTCGAAAAACCGCAAAAACAGTCGAAAATCAGCTTTTTCGGGTTGCAGACACTCGCCGGTGTCTCGGTGAGACACTTGTGAGTGTCTCGGCTAAGCCGAGACACTTGAGAGTGTCTCGGCCAAGCTGAGACACTCATGGGTGTCTCGGCTTGGCCGAGACACCAATTGGTGTCTCAGTTTGGCTCAGGGCTTGGTCTCGCACGCTTCGTCCGTTTTCATCGTATTTTAATCATCCGAACTCAGAATCACGCGATCTAGAATGCGTCGGAAAGCTGATGAGGAGGTCTACAAGTTCTCATGATTAAATCATGTGTGGAGTAAATAGGACATGAGGGGTGCTTCATCTTTCGTAAGCGACGTGCAGCTCCCAATTCATTCGTGTTTCGATTATTCTGAAATTCCGTTACTTCGCATGGTCCGTCGACTCACTTCATGCGTTCGTCATCATCAAATGAGATTCTGTGACTCGACTAACGATGTTCATCGTCTCCTCTACGTCTCGAGCCGCGTACGGGGACCTATAGGCAATTTTTGACGCCTACAATCCAGTCCACTATCATGTTTGGAAATCCTAGACCCTTTAACATATCCTTTAAAAAGCTCCAGCTGATAGTATCAAGTGCTTTTTTATATCAATGCTAAGCATTACTCTTGGGGAAACATATTTTCTGCTGTAATTCTTAATCAGCTCATGAGCAAGTAAAATGTTGTTAGTAGTTTGCCTACCCTCAACAAATGCACTCTGAGCATCATTGATAATAGATCCAATAACTGTTCTAATCCTATTTGCCAGGATTTTTGATATGAACTTGTAGAGTACATTACAACAAGAAATGGGCCTAAATTCTAAAGGAGTAGTAGGACAATTGACTTTTGGAATAAGTGAGATTGCAGTTGAGTTAACCTTACCCAGCAGTTTGCCAGTTTTGAAGAACTCATCAACAGCTTGAGTAACTTCATCTCCAACCACACTCTAAGAAGATTTAAAAAATACAACATTGAAACCATCTGGACTAGGAGCTTTATTATCTGACATGGAAAAAATAGTATTTTTGATTTCTTCTTTAGTAACTGAAGCAATTAAATCCCTAGCCTGAGAATCATCCAAGCAAGGTCCTGAATGAATAATATTGATGTTAGGAGGAGTAGTATCCACAGTAGTCCCCATCAGACTCTTAAAATGAGTGATAAATTCATTTACAATATCATCTCCCTCTGTTAGTCTTTGTCCCAAGTTATTATAGAGAAGCATAACTCTATTATGATGCATGTTAGCTTCAATCATTGACTGAAAAAATTCTGTACATCTATCACCTTGAACACTCCAATCAATTCTTGCTTTTTGTTTGAAAAAAGATAACTCACAATCCATCAAGGTGTTGTATTTTGAGATGCATTCCTTTTCCCGCTTAATTAAATTAGGAGACATAGGATCAACTTGTAAATCTTTTTGAACATCCTCTAGAGTTTGTTTTGCATGATGAACCTGCTCACTTATATTATAGAAGAATTTCCTATTAATATCCTTCAGTGCAATCTTCAGATTTTTCAATTTTAAGCAAACTGAGAACATGGCACCCCCTTTAATCCTTTGTTGCCAGGCATTAGCAACTGTAGGGAGAAAACAATCATGCTTTTTCCACATCTTGAAAATTTTGAAAGGTCTTTTGCCTTGAGAACATTCTTCACTAACAGTAATGAGACCAGGAGAGTGATCTGAAATTTTTGGCACAAGGAATTGAACTTGACTAGAATTATAAGATTGAATTCAATTATCATTAATCAGCACTCTATCTAATCTGCTCCAGATTCTTGAGCCATGATCCTGCTTATTGTTCCATGTATAAAAGCACCCAATGGTTTTCAAATGAGCAAGTTGACAGTCATTTATAAAAGCTCTAAAATCCTCTGTATCAAAATCAGTGAGCATGCTACCTCCAATTTTCTCTTCATTGCTAGTAATAGAATTAAAGTCCCCACATAATAGCCAAGGAGTACTACCAACAGTTTGATGAATAGGCTTCAGATCAGACCATAATACTTTCCTTGCATACAGATGATTAAATCCATAGATAGAGGAAATTACACAATCTAGTTTACCATCAAAAGATTTCACTGTGCAGGTGATACGTTGATCAGTACAACTAATCAATTGTATATCCAACATATTAGGATTCTATAGGATCAAAATTCTTGCTTTACTTGAACTTCTCACATTAGACATCCAGTTCCAAGTTTTAGCAATTTTCCTGGTAATTCCTGGCAATAAGGTATCTTTGATCTTAGTTTCTAGTAAAGCTATAAAAGAGATGTGATATTGCCACAAATGATGCTTAACCATTTGTTGTTTGGAGGGTCTATTCAGCCCCCTAACATTCCAAAATGATAGGTTCATCAAATTAGATCACCCCCTCTTTCAACTACTGAGGGATCCAAATCAAAATACTCAAGTTGTGAGAAAGAATTTGCTGGAGTATATTTTTTTTGCTTATTACTTTGAACATGAGACCAAGTATTGTTAGGTTGAGAGACTTGAAAATTACCTTCAAGATCAGTATGTTGTGCATGTACACCATGCACCAGACTGTGCAACCCTGAAAATTGTGGTATTCTGCATAGGATCAGTATGTTGTGCATGTACACCATGCACCAGACTGTGCAACCCTGAAAATTGTGGTATTCTGCATACTTGCTCTCCTTGTACATCATGAGGATTACACCAGACTGTGCAACCCTGAAAATTGTGGTATTCTGCATACTTGCTCTCCTTGTACATCATGAGGATTAGGAGACAACCCTTTCTCTTTATCTTGTTGCTGATTTTTTCCAGACATTCCAATTTGCTAAGAAACTTGCAAGATAGGCTTATAGCTGAAGCTTTATCCTTCCCACCTGACCTTTGTGATATATTAAGCATATGCATTGAATTATTTAGGAGATCAAGAGTAGTTGTTGTCTGAATCTTTGGGAGATTTTCATTAACACTAGAAACATGCACAGGAATAATAGAGGGATTAGAAACCTTCTGTGCATTCTGAACTGCAGGAACAGCAATTTTAGGAACCAATCTCTGAACTCTTGGAAATCTCTTGCAATACAAAGTATCATGCCCCACTAGCTTGCATTGATTACAACATCTAGGCTTCAGTTCATATAAAATCTTTTGATTAAAAAGTTTGCCATCAGGACCCTTTAAAGTAATACAATCTGGAAGAGGAGAGGGCATAGACACTTCCACAAGGACCCTTGCATAAGCTAATCTTTGCTTATTAGCTGTAAGTTTATCTATGGTAATTGGACGACCAACAGCACTTGCAATTTTACTTATACTTTTAGCATTCCACAAGTTAAGCTTCAATGGTAATTGGACGACCAACAGCACTTGCAATTTTACTTATACTTTTAGCATTCCACAAGTTAAGCTTCAAAGCTGGTAGAAGAATCCAAACAACTTGCAATTTTACTTATACTTTTAGCATTCCACAAGTTAAGCTTCAAAGCTGGTAGAAGAATCCAAACAGGATATACGCAGTCATTTATTTTTTCATAATCATCACCAATTGACAAGGGTTTCAAAGAAAGCGGACGATATCCAAAAAACCATGGGCCATTTTCTAAGATCTCAGTCATCTCATCTTTGTTTTCAAATTTAAACAAAAAAATTCCAGGTTTTAGAATGAAGATATCTAGAGTGGCTATATTAGCCCATATTTTCTTAACATAAACCTCCATTGCTTTGAACCTGATATTCAAACCAAGAACCTGACCAACCAAAGAAAATTGCCACATAGAAATTCCTTCATTCCACTCCTCATCATTGAAAGCCACAGTATCTTGTAGGCATCAAAAATTACCTATAGGTCCTCACACGCAGCTCGAGACGGAGAGGAGATGATGAACATCACTATTCGAGTCACAGAAGCTCATTTGACGATGACAAACACATGAAGTGAGCCGACGGATCACGCAAAACAACGAAACTTCGGAATAACGAAAACATGAACTGATCGGGAGCTCTACGTCACTTACGAAACACGAAACACCCCTCGTGTCCTGTTTACTCCATATGTGATTCAATCATGTAAGCTCATAGATCTTCTCATCAGTTTTCTAACGCATTCTGGATCACGTGATTCTGAGTTCGGATGATGAAAATACGGTGAAAACAAACAGAGCGCGCGAGACCAAGCCCTGAGCCAAACCAAGATACCATATGGTGTCTCGGCCAAGCCAAGACACCCATGAGTGTCTCGGCCTTGCCGAGGCACCCCCCAGTGTCTTAGGATTTGAAGCCGATACACTCACAAGTGTCTCGGCCACGCCGAGACACCCGCGGGTGTCTTGGAACTTGTAGGGCTGTTTTACCTATGATGTGCTTCTAATATAAAGAAACTTAAATATGAAAGTTGTAGATCTCTTCTTTATCTTTCCAATTCAACTTGGATTAACTCATTCTGAGATTGTATGAGAGAGATAAAGCCAAAATACCAACTGCCTCAGAATTCCAAGACAGTGTTGGTGTCTCGGAGAAGAATGGAGATTTTGGCTATGATTCGATTAGAATATAAAAAATCTCAAAAAAAAAAGTTGTAGATATCTTCGTTATCTTTCCAATGCATCTTGAATCATATTATTTGAAAGTTATATGAGAAAGTTAGAGCTAAAATAACCGAGATACTCACTGGTGTCTCGTCTAGGCTGAGACACCCAAAGGTGTCTCAGAAAACCGAGACACCCACTGGTGTCTCGGCCAGGCCGAGTCACCCATTGGTGTCTCGGCCAGGCCGAGACACCCACGGGGGTCCGCAGCCTACCCAGAGGTGTCTCGGCCAGGCCGAGACACCCACGGGTGTCCGCAGCCTTAAAAACCGATTTTTGGTAGTTTTAAGTTGTTTTTCGACATTAACCACCTGGATTTGTTCCAACTGATAAAATATCATCCAAGAACGTGATTAAGTGGTTACAACCGAGGATACAAGTGAATCAACTATTCTTATCTGAAAACAGAGCTCCCGAAGCCTATAGATACAGCCCCAGGATCTTTATTTTTTTGGATCTGGAATTCTCGAGCGTTGGCGAAGCCCTGCCAAACTGAAGACTAAAGAAGCACGAATTTCAGAAGAGAGGAGGAGATCGGATCGAGTTCTTCAGCATAGGAAAAGAGAATTCGTCGGATCTACAGTTCTCGTGTTCTTCCCTTGAGATTACCCTGTTGCGGTAATCTTAAGAAGAGTAATTATCTCGCTGTTGCCAAGATAATTGCTTCGGCTTCTTGATTCCTTCGTGAATCAACGAAGCTTCGGATCTAATCTGATCGTCCGGTGGTCCACAGATATCAACATCCCCGTCACAGGCCAAGATCCCATGCAAGCAACGGAGGATAAACGTCTGTTGCATTTTTTTTTGACAAGAGTTGTATTTTTTTCGTTTTCATTGTGTAAGAGTCTTATAAAAAGACTATTTTTTTTGTTGTCATTGTAATGACTGAAGTTGTAATGACTACATCAATGAAGACATTAACTTTCTCCCCAAACAAGTTGGCGACTACAGTGGGAGCCAACAGCTTCGCTGCTGAAGCTGTCGTGATGCAGCTGACGATCAAGATCCCCGTGGCTGAAGAGGTCGAATACGAGTTCGACCAACAGAAGTTTGAGGAGTACGTCTACTCCTCCTCCAGATCCGCCTCTCCTTGCAAGCACAGGAAGGTCTCCTTCGCCCGAAAGATCCGCTGGTCTTCAGATCTGAAGACTCAAGAAGGTGAATTCCCTGCTACCGCTGCTACAGATGCACCTCGCAACGATCCGCTGGCGTCAAATGAAGTCAGATTTGCAGATCTGAACTCCTCTTTGATCAAGGAGTCGACTGCTGAAGACGCGCCAACTCTATCAAAAAGAGCACATCAAAGATAACGCCAACGCCTCACGCGCCAATTCGCCAAAGCTTTGGATCAGGTGGACGGACTCCGTTACCAAGCGGATTTGGACTTCAGGAAGTGCCAAGTGGCTAAGCCATCTCCACAGCAAGCTTCGCGAACCTCCTCCCAACCACCTACTAACGAATGGGTTCGTGTCAAACGGAACCGTTTTACTCTTGAGGAGCGCATTCAGAAGCATCACGCATTTCTTGCACATGCCCAGATCCTTGTGCGAAAAGCACAAGAAATGCAAAAGGAAGAGATGGTTAAGAGATCACCGAGATCCAAATAAATTTGGATGCCAAAGCCCAAATCAACGCCTAAGGCAAGAGAAAGCAACGTTGCTCCCCAGCCTTTGTCAACTTCGGATCCCGCTCCTTCTGCCACCACACCTTCGGACTGGGGGTCGTACGCGACATCCTAACAAGTTGATTCCCGTAACTACCTACGTGGAGATGCCTGCACAAAACCAAGAGCCCGTTAAAATTTCATCCTCACACGGGTGTGATTCCAAACATGTGACTCCTGCTAAAGCTAATAAAGTGCTACATAATCAGAAGAAGACGCGCCGAACAAACAACAGCGTTCCACTTGAGGAATCAAACCAACAGCTGATAGGTTACTCTGACAGCAACATCGATGAGTTGTATTATCGGGCTAGGGGTACTAATAAATCTCGAAAGAGAAGTACCCGGGAAGCAAACTTTCACTGTCCATGTACCAAACTTATCAGGACAGTATTATCATCGTATAGTTGCCCCAAGACCACTCTATAGAGGGTCTCGGTATTCGAGAGGATCTCCAATGGAACGACTAAGCCCAAATCAAGGCGTTTTCACAAAAGAAGATCAGTCGTTCGAGATGACAAATTCCCAGAAGTTACCATTAACATGGTCAACAAGGAAAAGTCTCTGATGGTTTCAAGCGGGTCTAGCCCTAACTTTTCTCCAGAAAAAAGAGTCAATTCGGGAATAGCTCAATTAATGTCTTGGCTCCAGCTAGAAGCTGTAGGACCTAAACAATCCGCGGTCACCATCAACATGGCTAATAAGGGAAAGTCAATTCGACCTTCTAATTCTGATCCTCTCATATCGCATCGTCTGACCCATTTGCGATCGGGAACTACTAGACGTAGGGATTATCAAAGGATGAATAGATGATTATCCTCAGATGACGAAGCGTCAGACGCTTGCTCCGTAATTGCTTCAAATGCTACTGTATCCAGCCCAGGGCAATCTCGTGAAGCGCTCACCATCATTCCTGATCAAATAACTCAGATGATCGAAAATGCTCTCGCTAAGCAGAAAGAAGAGTTTAAGGTTGAAATAGAACTGAACATACAACGGATGAGGGAGTTACATGACCTACAACTTCAAGCTTTATCAAGACCAACGGATGAGGGAGTTACATGACCTACAACTTCAAGCTTTATCAAGACAGATTGGCGAATCCAGTCATCGCAACGTTGTAGTAGAACAAGTCAATACAATAGATAGTGATCCAGAACCGGATGAGACTATCAACATTGATTTCCCTCCCGACAATAATAATGCTAGGGGTGGTCCAACCGAAAATAACAATGCTAGGGGTGGTCCCGTTGTTTCTCTCAGAAATCGTCCGAAGCATGATACAAATGAGGATGAAAAGATGAAGGATCTCGAGAGAAAAATCAACGCTCTGATGTCTGCTCGAGAGGTAAAGAAGACCGGCATTCCGTGTCCTTACCCGAGAGAGTGGGAGTCGATCCCGTATCCGGCCAAATTCTACCTGATCAACTTCATGCTGTTCGACGTGAAGGGCTCGCCCACTTAACATTTGATCTACTTTAAGTCCCACTTGGGCATGATATCCTGTAATGAAGCATTGATGGTTCGATCATTCGTTGGCACCCTTCGTGGGCCTCCCTTCGATTGATACCATCGTCTCAAGCCTGGAAGCATCAACAACTGGGACGATATAGAGAGATCATTCCTCGGCAACTTCTTTGATGACGATGCTGAGGTATCCATCAGGACACCCTTCGATAAGAAGCAAAAATACGGAGAAATAGTCGCCGACTTTGTTAAACGCTTCCGGAACAAGGCGATAAATTGTCGAGATCCGATCACGGAGGAATTCATCCTACAAACTTACCACAACAACCTCTCTTTAGACGTGTTAGGAGTTATGGGATTAAACCCGTCCAAGACTTGGAAAGATTTGAAGATGCACGGTGAATAAGCCGAACGCTTCCTCAGAAGGAAGAAGATCAAAAGAAGCCAACAGTCAATGCCTACGGTTGCTAGTGATAATAATCAACCTCAAAAGCAGCAAAGGGCTCCAGATCCGGGACTCGAAAAAGAGTACTCTTTCAAGGATGAGGAAGTTCCGGGTATTTTTGAGTACCTCCTGAATAACAGTGAGATTGAGCTACCACCTATTAAAGATCAGCAGGGAGCTAAGAGGATTACGGACCCAAACTATTGTGCTTATCACAGGAGGGTTCTCCATCCTACTGAGATTTGTTTCGGTCTAAAGAACAAAATTCAAGCTCTAATCGACTCTAACGCCATAAAGCTAGAATAAGCCGAATGACGGTGCACCACTCCGAAGAGTATACGAGTATAAACTGCTTCTCAATCCTCTAACCAGTATAAGAGGTTAAACTGCTCCTTGACACTCCAATAGGTATAGAGTCTAAACTGTTTCCTTTCTTTCACGGGAAGTTCCTGGAGAGTGCCATGCCTGGTATTCTTATGGATAACCCGGTCATGCAACTGAGTATAATGTTAGACCCAGTTTCGCGAAGAAAGCTGGGGGTGGATAATTCATGTAATGGAAAGTTCCTGAGAGAATTCTATATAGTGTATTCTTAGGGATAATCTGGTCACTACAACAAGGTGATGAATAAGAAACTCCCACTCAAACTCCTGCTACGTCTGTGCACTCAATATTCTCATTGTTAGAGTCCGGACATAGTATTAAGAATTTTAATCTCCTGATCATTGACGATTATCAAACCCCTCCGTGTTAAGTATTTGTCACTTAACACCAGGAACCCCCTCTGATCGACCTGTACAAGTCAACACTCCCACTGTGATTTGTACTCCCACTCCCACTGTCTACTTGGTCAAACCTTTAAACAGTTAGGACCACAACCAAAATCCCCTCTCGATTCCTTCCATGAACAAGAGGTCCACGAATTGAACGATCAAACCTTTAAACAGTTAGGGTCGTCTCAAATTCCCATCTTGGTCAAACCTTTAAACAGTTAGGACCACAATCAAAATCCCCTTTTGATTCCTTCCATGAACGAGAGGTCCACAAATTGAACGATCAAACCTTTAAACAGTTAGGGTCATGTCAAATTCCCATCATGGTCAAACCTTTAAACAGTTAGGATCACAACCAAAATCCCCTCTCGATTCTTTCCATGAACGAGAGGTCTATGAATTGAACGATCAAACTTTTAAACAGTTAGGGTCGTCTCAAATTCCCATCTTGGTCAAACCTTTAAAAAGTTAGGACCACAATCAAAATCCCCTCTCGATTCCTTTCATGAATGAGAGGTCTACAAATTGAACGATCAAACCTTTAAATAGTTAGGGTCGACTCAAATTCTCATCTTGGTTAAACCTTTAAACAGTTAGGACCACAACCAAAATCCCCTCTCGATTCCTTCCATGAACGAGAGGTCCACTTTTAATTTGAGCAATAAAATCTATAAAAGTTAGGGTTGCCTCCAACCTCAATTGGTCGAACCTGCAGATAGTTAGGACCAAGACCAGAATGCTCCTTTCGATAAACGAAAGACTTCCACCTTTTCCTATTCAGCCAAACCTATAAAAGTTAGAGCCGAAATTGGAATTTTACCTTAGTAAATGATGAATTCTTTTCTTGGATTAAGCAACTAATCCTATAAAAGTTAGGGTTGCTTGAATCTTTCTGATTCTCGGAGTGGAGATCCCACTCCTAGTTTTACTTTTCCATATTCTTAGGGTGGAGATCCCCCTTCGAGTTTCATTGGCAACTGGAGATAGAATATAAAATTCTTCCTCTTCAGTTTTGGGAGATAGAATATAAAATTCTTCCTCTCCTATTTTTTGACACCATCCTTCAACTCCGTAATCCGTGCTTATATGCACGGGGAATTTTATCCTGAATCCTAAGTAGAGATAAGTCAACGCCTAACACGCGTTGTCAGTTTAGTCTTTCACCGATTAAAGAAGACACCAGAATCCGAATATGGGGAATTTTATCCCGAAGCCTAAGTAAGGATAAGTCAGCGCCTAACACGCGTTGCCGGTTAGCCTTTGACTGTAAAAAAGGATAAAAGCCCACATATTTGACATTGTGGCAGGTTATTATTAATAACACCATAATCTGTGCCTCACACGTATGAGGAATTTTATCCCGAATTCTAAGTAGGGATGGGTCAACACCTAATACGCGTTGCAGGTTTAATCTTTTACCGATTGAAGAAGACACCAGAATACCAATCTAGAGCATTTTATCCCGAATCCTAAGAAAGGATAAGTCAACACCTAACACGCGTTGTCGGGTAGTCTATTCCCGTAAGAAAGATGAAGTCTACGTATTCAATATCGTAGCACTAAAATAGTTAACTATTTTAGCACAACGTTACATGCAGAACGAATTTAAACAATCCGCATGCAAGCTCGATTCAAACGGTAATCGGTAAAGGCACGTCAAATCCGTTGATGGCTAAGGATTTGCCAAAAATCCTGAGTCTGCATCTGATACATGCGGCCATGTAGTCTATTCCCATTAGAAAGACGAAGTCTACGTATTCAATATCGTAGCACTAAAAAAGTTAACTCTTTTAGCACAACGTTACATGCGGAACGGACTTAAACAATTCGCATGCTAGCCCGACTCAAACGGTAGTCGGTAAAAGCTCATCAAACCCGTTGATGGTTGAGGGTTTGCCAAAAATCCTATGAATATGAGAGTCATTGACGCATCAGTCCCATTAGTTGGTCTTGTGACTCGAACATCCAACAACTTCGGGATAAGATCCATATCTGCAGACGAATCAGCTTTAATAGTTAGTCCTGCAGCCCCAACTGTTGGAACTGCCATGCTCCAATACCTTAAGAGCTTAAACTGTGTATACTCTAGCAAACGTATGAGTATAAACTGTGTCAACGCCGGGCAATCCGAATCCCTAGGTTAACACCGGTCAACGCGTAACCCTAGGTCAACATCAGTCAATGCGTTGTAATAAAAAGTCAACGTCGGGCGATCCGAAACCCTAGGTTAACGCCGGTCAATGTGTAATCCAAGGTCAATGCCAGTCAATGTGTAGCAATGAGAAATCAACGTCAGGTGATCCGAAACCCTAGGTTAACGTCGGTCAACGCATAATCCTAGGTCAACGCCAGTCAATGTGTTGCAATGAAAAGTCAACGTCGGGCGATCCGAAACCCTAAGTCGACGCCGTTCAAAGCGTAACCCTAGGTCAACGTCAGTCAATGCGTTGTAATGAAAAGTCAACGTCGGGCGATCCGAAACCCTAAGTCGACGCCGTTCAATGCATAATCCCTAGGTCAACGTCAGTCAATGCGTTGCAATGAAAAGTCAACGTCGGGTGGTCCGAAACCCTAGGTCAACGTTGGTCAATGCGTAATCTTAGGTCAACGCCAGTCAACACGTTGCGATAAAAGTCAACGCCAGTCAATATATCATGATGGGGATAGTCAGTTTAAAGTCAACTCGACGATACGAGCCAAAATCAACTTACCAGTTTTAATTCAAGACTTTAACGACGGCCAGACGATAAACGTAGCGCTGGAATAACTTCGGTTATTCATTAAGAAACTGAATAGACTGAAGATCGAAGGAGTCAAGAGTCAAAGCTAACAATAGGTCCTTTTACACTGACTGAAGGTTGGACCGATCATACCTAAAGTATTTCAGGCTCATCTACAAAAGAGACGAGACTGAAACACTTTGGAGGGGGTATCTGTAGGCATCAAAAATTACCTATAGGTCCCCACACGTGGCTCGAGACAAAGAGGAGGCGATAAACGTCACTATTCAAGTCACAGAAGCTCATTTGACGACGACAAACGCATGAAGTGAGCCGACGGACCACGCGAAACAACAAAACTTCGGAATAACAGAAATATGAACTGATCGGGAGCTCTGCGTCACTTACGAAACACGAAACACCCCTCATGTCCCATTTACTCCACATGTGATTCAATTGTGTAAGCTCATAGATCTTCTCATCGGTTTTCCAACACATTCTGGATCGCATGATTTCGAGTCCGGATGATGAAAATACTACAAAAATGGACGGAGCGCGTGAGACCAAGCCCTGAGCCAAACCAAGACACTATATGGTGTCTCGGCCACGTCGAGACACCCGCAGGTATCTCGGAACTTGTAGGTCTGTTTTACCTATGATACGCTTCAAATCTGAAGAAACATAAAATAAGAAAGTTGTACATCTCGTCTTTAGCTTTCCAATGCATTTTGGATCAACTCATTCTGAGATCGTATGAGAGAGATAAAGCCAAAATACCAACAGCCTCAGAATTCCGAGACAGTGTTGGTGTCTTGGAGAAGAATGGAGATTTTGGCTATGATTCGATTCGAATATGAAAAAGATTAAAATACAAAAGTTGTAGATACCTTTGTTATCTTTCTAACGCATCTTGAATCATATTTTTTGGAGGTGATATGAGAAAGTTAAAATTAAAATACCCGAGACACTCACTGGTGTCTCGGCCTGGCCGAGACACCCACTGGTGTCTCGACTAGGCCGAGACACCCACGAGTGTCTCGACCAAGCCGAGACACCCACGGGTGTCCGCAGCCCCGAAAATCAATTTTTTGCAGTTTTAAGCTGTTTTTCGACATTAACCGCCTGGATTTGTTCCAACTGATAAAATATCATCCAAGAACGTGGTTAAGTTGTTATAACTGAGGATAAGAGTGAATCAACCATTCTTATCCAAAAACAGAGCTCCTGAAGCCTATAAATATAGCCCCAGGGTCTTTATTTTTTCGGATCTGGAATTCTCGAGCGTTGGCGAAGCCCTGCCGAACTAAAGACTGAAGGAGCACAAATTTCAGAAGAGAGGAGGAGATTGGATCGAGTTCTTCAGCGCAGGAAAGGAGAGTTCGTCGGATCTGTAGTTCCCGTGTTCTTCTCTTGAGATTACCCCGTTGCGGTAATCGTAAGAAGAGTAAGTATCTCGCTGTTACCGAGATAATTGCTTCGACTTCTTGATTCCTTCGCGAATCGACGAAGCTTTGGATCTGATCTGATCGTCCGGTGGTCCACAGATATCAACATCCCCGTCACAGACCAAGATCCCATGCAAGCAGCGAAGGATAAATGTCCGTTGTGTTTGTTTTGACGAGAGTTGTATTTTTTGTTTTCATTGTGGAAAAGTCTTATAAAAATACTATGTTTTTTGTTGTCATTGTAATGACTGAAGTTGTAATGACTACATCAATGAAGACATCAACTTTCTCCCCAAACATATCTTTTGTGTCAGGAGGTAAAAATTTCAACGGCAATCCACCTCCTGTTTTTCTATTATCAGCAAAACAACTAACCCAGCTTTTTTAAGAAGATTTTTCTTGCAATGGAATATTATCATCATTTGCAGATTTCAAAGGAGAAAAATTAACATTCTCAATTCTTAATTTATCAGATTCTGAAATCAATTGAGTTACTAAGTTTTCAGATCCAGATTCAACAGATTTTTTTCTAGCGGAAACCAATGGAACAGTAACTCCAACACTATTACAAGAAGAATATATGCTGATCTAAAGAAGAATTAGCAAGACCATTCTCAAAATCAGATTCTTCTGCCCAGGAGATTCTTGAAGAACTTCCCGCTTCTTTACAAGAACTATCAATTACTTTACCCATGGATAGAGATTTACTTAAGAGTCGAGAATGAATCTCAATCGGATGAGGAGATACCTAAGAACTAGCATTCAGAATCTTCGCTATGGATTTCTTTTTCTTCGCTCCTTGTGGACCAGTAGAATTCATGATGATAGAATCCTCCTCTTCATCCAATCCACCAACAGATTGATCATCAGAAGAACATAAATCTGAATTCGAAGCTCGAAGACCTAGGTTGAGAATCCTCTTTCCATTAAACTTCTTCTTCCTCGCCATCGAAACCTTGGCGGGGGCGTATGTTAGTAACATAAAGTTTTTATTCATTTTTGTGAGTTCTAAATTATAACCCTCAACCTTCACTATAACTCTAGATATCTGGTATAGTGGTAGAGACCCTTAACAGGTTATCAGAACAATCAGGGACCTCTCATAACATGTTAGAGTATAAAATTATGACCCTCAACTCTGGTGGTAACTTTGGAGTTTTAGTGTGGTGGAACTATAGAAGGGACCTTTGGCACTTTTGTTCATTTAAGAAATGTGATGTTTTATTTCTTTAATCACTTTGTTCCACTTCAAATCAAACTTTAGTATTGTGATTATTTATTTTCTTTAATGTTTGTTTGAATGGCCTACACAAAATTTAAAATTTTCACGTTAATAATTGAATTGACAAGAAATAAATATAATCTAAAGCTAATTTGAATTTACATGTTATTTGGATCGACATGAAACCAAGCTTGACTTGAGAAGATATGATGTTATAAAAGTGAAAAATACTTGAAGAAATAGCGTTAGAAAAGAAGAATGAATAATTAAAGCCAATAAGATGAGATGATTAATTATAAGTGGGCTAGAATAAAACTAAAAAGAATATAAATTTTGTTGCTAATCATTTATAGACTTCGGAAAAAATCATAAAATAAAGATTAATACTAACTCTAATACACTTTTATATGATAAAAGCATCCACATAACTATATAAAAATATTAAAAGAGTTCATAAAAATATCTTCTAAAGATTCCTGATTATCCTCAAAAAATTAAGCTATTCTATAAAATATTCAATAATTTAAATTTGTGTTGTATTTATAAAGAGACTTGATGGAGATGCTTTGGTTTTAGCAGCTTTTTCTAATGAATCCTACATATTAGCTTTAAAGTATAATATTTTTTCTTTATCGTGTTATATGGATGTTTGCTTGGTTTACTTATCATTCTCTTATTTCTTCAATAAGTTGTATTTTTGGATTGATATATATTATTAATACAATTTACGATGACATACATATCTTTCCTACAAATTTGAGACAGATATAAGGTAAATTTTATGTTTAGTGGTCTTTAATAAGAATTTTAGTTGTAAAATATGTTACCTTCATAATTAAAGATCTTGAAATCAGACAGTACTATTACATGCTTATCTTTGATTGTGTCCCTAAAAATTGATCCTTCGTTGGTAGTCATATCCCCAAATAAGGTTACTTGCAGAGTCATGCCATTATATAGAAAAAAGAAGAAAATATCAATTTTAACTTTTTTTTACTTATGCTATGGTAACTAAGTATCATATGCATACATTTTGTCAATTATAATGATTTTCCTCATCGTATCTAGCTTATTATATCCCGCAATATAGTTGACCAATGGCTTCACTTTAGTTTCTATTGCAAGATTATTTATATGTAAATTTATATTAAGTTTATGATTCCTTTAGTATTTCAAGAATAAAGTATGAAAATTTATAAATACTTACTAATTTTTCTTGTATCTTTCATGAAGAATGCTTTTTTAAATAGGACAAAGTTGTTCAATATGTTCTTCAGGGGGAACCCGGTCAATGTTTCTTTATCAAAATTTTCTTTTATCAATGTCAATTCAGATGATTCATGAATGTTTCCGAAGTTTGAGTTTATTTCTTTCACTTCTCAATTTGAAATGAAAACAACTTAGTTCTTTTAAATGATATCTCCAAACTTTCTGATAGTTTCTTCATACATAACTCCTTATATTTTTTACGCTATAAATTTTATCAAAATTAGAGATAAATATTTATACATTATAATCAGTTAATGCTAACATATTATATTATAGTCTTTTATTAATTTGTCTTCTATCAAGTTTATACATTATAATCAGTTAATGCTAACATATTATATTATAGTCTTTTATTAATTTGTCTTCTATCAATGAATGTTATTATTAAAATTATATGCAGTTATATTATATTATAGTCTTTTATTAATTTGTCTTCTATCAATGAATGTTATTATTAAAATTATATGCAGTTCATTGAATTTATACAGTAATGTTAATTTTAATCTATCCTATACTTTTAACTTCTTATTCCTTAACTAAATAGTTTTAATCTACGGTAATTACTATTTTTTTATCGGCATCAACTTAGACTACTTTTAGATGTTGAAAAGAGAAGATAAATTTTAAATTGAAAGTTAAATTTATATATCTTAATGCTATAATATCAAATATTTCCCTTTTTCTTTGCCAAATTTTAGCCTTTTCGTGATTTTAAACTTTTGAGGGTGTGTTTTGTAATTTTTAAATTTCGATAGTATTTTATGACAATTTTAAATTATAAGTTGGGTGCTTAAAATTAATGTTTTAAGTGTTGGTGGTAAGTTTTTAAATGTTAGAATATTTCTTATAACTGTGAAAATTTGAAGGTATTTTTACAATTAGTAAAATTTTGGGTTATTTTTTAAAAAATTTAAATTTTCAATGATCTATTGATAATTTCTAAATTTTATGTGTACCTGTTATAAGGTTTGAAATTTTAGGATTTTTTGTAATTTTTTACTTTTGGGTGAGTTTTTGTAATTTTTATAACTTTGAGGTTATTTTTTATAAATTTTAATTTTTAAGTGCTTAATGTAATTCATGGAATCCATCTATGTTATTGCAAAGTTTTAAAATCTCTGAATTTTACGGTGTTTTTTTTGTAATTTAAACTTTTAAGGTTGTTTCTGTAATTTTTAAAATATTGAGGGTGTTAATTTTAAATTTTAAATTTTTAGATTTCATGTTTGTTTTTAAGTTTTAAAAAGTCAAGGTGTTTTGTGTAATTTTAAACTTTTAAGGCTATTATATGCAATTTTTGAAACTTTTGGGTTTTTTTATAATACTTCATGTATTATAATATGTTATACACGTAAAATTTCTTTATCTTATTTTTTTTTAAATTGTTGAGTTATAGGTAGTTAATATGGAGTTAATATAAGTTATAATTAGCATTTGGCTAGATTAAGATTTAAATGAAATATATAAAATAATTTTTTTAAATTGTTGAGCTATAGATAGTTTACATGAAATTAGATAAGATTGTTGTCCTTCTTGTTTTGATGATGTTTAACAAATAATTTACCACTAATGTTGTTTGTCTAGTATTTGTGTTTTCTTATTTATTATAGACAAACAACGTAGTTGGAGGATGGATGGAATAGAGCTTCAACGAACATATCCAAATGAGGTTGGCGGAATGTCGGGTTGAAGCCTTGCAATTCACGTTAAAGATCAAGTTCAAGCTTCATCCGCATGTGTACCAAGTTGAGCTACAATGAAGATCAAGACCAAGCTTGGGTAATCTAGTTTAGATTTTATATTATGTGTGTTAGATACTCTAAGCTCAATATCATATACACACACATTTATTGGTTTCTTCGTATATTATATATATAGTTATATATATATATATAAGTTTTGATTTCTATGCATATATATAGTTATATATATATACATACATGTGTTTTTGAGTTTTCATGTTTATAAATATGAAATCACATGTTTCATATTTATTATTTTGTTTTAGTATATATTGCATAGAATATGCAATTTTGTAAAAATATTGTTCTCTTAGTTTTTGGACTTAACAATAATCATATACATATTTTATTAAGTCTACAAAATCATTGTGCAAAGTTTAAAAACATGGTTTAGCCTAAATGTCAAAATTCATATGTTTACATTTTCATGTTTTGGACTATTTTGCAAAATGATGATATTTTTCATTTGGGAAGTCCTTTTTGGAAACCAGTCATTGTAGCATGTTTATTATCATGTCCACAATCATTCCCCAATGTTTTATATTTTTTGGAATTTATTTGATATTTTTAAACAGGGTTTTAAAATCAGCAAATCAGATTTTTTTGTATCAGTTCTCGGTCGACCGCACCTATGTTCTTTCGTCAGTGGGCAGCAGAGAGTTTGTCGGTCGACCGTCGCGGTCGACCGTCGCGGTCGACCGTCGCGGTCGACCGTCGCGGTCGACCGTCGCGGTCGACCGTCGCGGTCGACCGTCGCGGTCGACCGTCGCGGTCGACCGTCGCGGTCGACCGTCGCGGTCGACCGTCGCGGTCGACCGTCGCGGTCGACCGTCGCGGTCGACCGTCGCGGTCGACCGTCGCGGTCGACCGTCGCGGTCGACCGTCGCGGTCGACCGTCGCGGTCGACCGTCGCGGTCGACCGTCGCGGTCGACCGTCGCGTGATTTCACTCATTGTTTACACACACACCCACTTGAGCTTATTGTATTTTCATACATAGTATATTTGGGTTGGTGAGAGTTGTAACAATTGAGTGTGAGCTTTCATTGTGTTCTCATCCATATTAGAGAACAATCATTTTTTATATTTATGCTTATTTGTGAGATCACTTTGTAATACACTTGTACACCGAGAAAAGTGTGTGGCGAGAGTCGGGGATCGTCCCAAGAGGAGTGGCGTCGGTTGACGAACCTAGGGAGAGGTTGTAACCGAGCACTTGAGGGAGACACGTCTAGTTCAACACTTAGTGGGTGTAGAGTGGAATTGCAAGAGTGGTGATTGTAAAGTTTTTGGTTAGCTAGAAAACCGAGTGTGAGGTGTCAACGTTATTCGGGTGAACATAGAAAACCCGGTTGTGATAGTGGATTTCTCCCCGGGAGAGGGGAGCGGAGACGTAGGACGGAAGGTCCGAACTCCGTGATCATATCATGTGTTTGAGTTTGCTTTGGCGCACTTTATCTTATGTTTATATTTCTTGTCGCCATTGTCCATAGCTCATTATTTATATGATCCACTATCTAGTTTATATTGTTTACCTCTTGTGTTAGTTTTATATCCTTGCATATATCATATATTGCTTATATCTCTTTGCTAGGATATTTCTTGTTGTTCATATTGCTTATCCTAGCTCATATAACTTGTTAATTAGTTTTAATTGGCATTTAATCGGATTAGATTAGCATAAGACCCTAATCACCCCCCTCTAGGGTCTAACAAA